GAAGGAGCCAGCAATCATGAGGTGGGGATAAAGCTGAGGGGAGAGTGTTCTCGTCAGAGGAAACACTGTGCAAAGCCCAAAAGTTAAGACGGTGACATCAGAGGAACTGAAGAAATGCAGCATGCTTGGGTACAGGGGCCAGTGGAAAAGTAAGACTAACTATGTAAGGAAAATGGAAGTTAATAATGAAAAGGAGTTGGCTCTTAGAAGCAAGGATGATCAGATTTGCAGGACTTTAGGAAGGTCACTGGCAGTGGTGATGAGAATCGATGAAGGACACTGGATTGGCTGCAGGTAAGGACAACATGGATTAGGGTAGTGGATTACCATTGATGATCTTTGTTACAAGAAGACCATGGGAAACAGCTTAAAAGACTGGGTACCTGACAAAACAGTGGTCCCATTATCACAAATAAGGAAGCAGAATGGGGAGCAGGATTCGGAAGCAGTTCTTTCCGAGGAATGAGGAGATAATGAGGAGATAATGAGGAGAATGGTCTGACTTCAGTGTTTGGCTTCAAAGTGCTGTCAAGTCCCTTTTTAAAACTTGTCAGCAAGGTCCAGATCCCTAGCCTGCACTCAAAGGAGCATTCAAGGATAAAGACTGCCATATTCATCTCTGTATCCTGGGACTCCAGCACTGTGCTCAGCACACAGTAGATGTTCAATATTGTTTGCTGACAAAAATTTATACCATTGAAACTCAGAACAATTTCACCAAAGACACAGTAAAGCTATGCAAATCAATTTGTATTTGGGGGAATGCCTATGATATACTTTGTATTAATACTCAATTTAGCATGTTAACAGCAGGATAACTTAAGAATTGAATTTTGGTATATGAGGTCTTGGTATGATACACAGTATTATATACAGCAGCTCAGGACACATTTATGCACATATATTCAAGCCACAACTTGTTATTCCCTCTATTGCCCTTTCCTTTGGACTCAGGCTGGCTATGGGGTCTTCAGTGCCAGGAGCAAATGTGAAAGTCTAGAGAGGCAGTACAGAGCACACTACATGAGACGTGATAACACGAGCAAGGAGAGTGACTCTCAAGTATACCATAATTCCATGTTTCAATGTCATAAACTGGAATGAACACATGGACTGTTGGTTTAATCAAATCAGTGTCCCCTACCTAAAAATAATTCTATTATTTTAGCATCACAAATACATGAAATATTAAAATTCCTCCCTAAAAGATTATATGGCTTTATAAAAGTCACCAATTACCGGCAATGTTGCACTTCAGCTCAGACCTTTATTGCATATTCGACAGAAGACTTTAACCCTTTGAACCGTTATGTATTTGAGACAAGAATAAACCTTGACTCATCAAAATGCTCAAGTACTACAAAAATATCTCTAAAAAAATAAATCCTATAATTGTAGCACAGAACCATGCCTTGAATTTAGGGTTCTTTGATGCCCATGAATGGTCATTTGTCACCATTCAAAAAGAGACTATGTTAACTGAACTAACCTTCCAATTAAGTTTTCCTTTAAATTATATGTGTTGTTTTTTCTCATATTTCACCTTGTATGTGGTAACTTAACTGCAGCTTCAGCATATTTAACATATAAACCAAAACCAGTTGTGGAAGAGCCAATTCCAACTCATGGTGACCCCATGGGTGTCACAGTAGAACCGTACTCCA